CTTTATTCACAATACAAATCCCAATTCAAAACCTTCAGTGAAGGAATAGTGTTGGTTAATTGTAACACGCTCTCCAACTACTATTCTTATAGTTCATACTATGTAAAATATAGATTTGTATATCATATGAAAGATAGTGGACTCCAAGTTTTTCTTTACTCATAAAATATAATTCATTACAAATACAAAATACTATGTATAAAACTTTCTAATTAATACAAAATATTATAGCTGGTGGACAGTGGTGCCAAACTCTTCGCCCCCTCGACGTCCAATCCGACCGCTGCGCTCTATTCCTGCAAAACAGAGAAGAACAACGGGGTGAGCACAACAATGCTCAGTAAGTAAATCCTTACTACCTGTCCCCGCAACTCACTCTTGGTTCTTTCCTACTCAACCATTCTTATATTCTAATTCTCACTGTTTTTTCTCTTCTTTCTATACTGTTATCTCCTTAACCTGTTCTGCTCTTTTTCTTCTTTCTCTCTGTTTTTCTCTTATCTTTACTCACCATGAAGGAAATCATGGTTTCTCTCTATTCTCATCTACTCATCGCTAACCATGGAAGAAATCATGGTGCATGCGTATGAGATGTAAATACAACTAAAGTAAAAGAACTGCATATTTCTTTTTTCTACTCTCTATTCTTACTAGCTTAAACTTTCGCATTCTTTCTCATTACTTTCTCTCTCTTTCTATATCATTTCTTTCTCAAGCTTTCTCATTCTTTAATTCTTTCTATATCTCATCTCATTTCTGTTTCTCTTTCTCATAACTCTTTTCTGTTAACTCTCTCTTAGTAGTCACGGCCTCATCTTACCGGAGGCCACGGCGGGACTCGCTCCCGCTATACGTGACTTCTCTCATTTTAGCCGATCGAACATTGGTTATGCATGGATCGGAACCCTCGGCCATGTGAGTGTATAATCTCTCTCTCTCAGTACTCGGGTTAGCCTCATCCGCATGTACTCTACGGGCTACACCACTTCTCTTTCTCATACTATGGCTCTCTCAATGCGGCGTAAATGCGGGAATACATCTACCCATTACTCCGAGTTCCCCATCGCATAACCTACTTATGCTCTATCTCTCTCTTATTCTTTCTCATGTTTACTCTCTTTTCTCAAGCTAGTACTCATAATACAACTAACTCTTAGCTTTTCTATCTTTGTTCTTTCTATTTTTTTCTTTCTCATTCTTAACTATTTGAATGTCACGACCTCATCTGAATGGAGGCACGGCTGGGCGCTACCACTCTATGTGACTTCCGCTCATTTCTCTACCGATCGGATTTATTCATGCATGGATTCGGAACCTTTGGCTGTGAGTGTATTCTTTCTCTCTCTCTGAATGTCACGGCCCCATCTTACCGGAGGCATGGCTGGAACATCATGTTCCACTCTGCGTGACGGTCACGGCCTAATCTGAACGGAGGCACGGGGGGATCACAAAGCACCCATCTGTAACTCTACTCGTCACTCACAGGTTCCCATCGCATAATTACTCTATTCTTCTGTAGCATTTTCTCTCTTTATTCGCTAGTGCTCAATCTCACTTTCTCTTTACTATCCAAGTATTCTCATTCTCTTTACTCTTAAGAGTTGCATTTTCAACATTCTCTACTCTTCTCACTCAAACTATTACTCACAGTATAGCTTATACTCAAAATCTATAACTTAAGCTAGTACTCATAAGGTAGCTCATACTCTCATAGTATAGCTTATACTCAAAATCTATACTCTTAAGCTAGTATCATAAGGTAGCTCATACTCAACATTCTCTATTCTTTCTCAAAACTATTGTCAATGCACAATTAATGCATATGGATGGTTCATACTCTTTAATGCACTTTTGAAATGCCAAATGCAATGTTGCCTCCAAAATCGTCATTACACAGGTCACACTAAAAAGGGATAACTTGCGTTATACACATCGGATTGCTACGGTCTTATATTGTTTTAAAGCTTAAAAACAGGGCTACAACTTTGATGTTTTGGTCTCAGCCCAGTTCAATCCGTAAAATGCCCAAAAATCACTCAGAAAGTCACGGCTGTGGACGGGCAGTTGTAACATGTTTTCATTAGGCATTTCATCAAGCAACTCATGTGCATACAAACACTCTTCTCTAACTACAACTCTCCTTCCTTTTTAACCATCCAAAATGGGAGGAAACTCCCTTCATGGGCATGGTTCCTATCATAGAAGAACACTCCCAAAATATCTATTCAATCTCCTCCAACTTCATCTCAAACTATTACACAACAACACTTCATAAAAGAGCATATCAACAAACATAACATAAATACTCTTCTCCATTCAATTCCTCAACAAGTAGACATATATCTCTACTCAATTTCTCAACAAGCTGTATATACATGCATAAATAAATCTCTATTAGAATTTCTTAAACTTTAGCTGAGTTGGATTTACTTACCTCATACTTGAGTAGTCTCCACAACCTCTCTACTCTTGTTGGATCATAGCTTTCCCTTATTTCCTAAGCATAAACTTAGTAAGAACTTAACCTTACATAAATAAAAAGCATATCTAGAGTAGGGATTCTTACCTCTTCTTGTCTTAGGAATCCTTTGTCAAATTCCAACTCAAAACTCTCAAAAATCCCTTGGAGATTGAGTGAGGAATGAGAGAAAATGGGAGATGAAGAGGCGGTGGAAATGGGTGAAATGAATGGGTTTAGAGAAATCAACCCATTAGCTCATATATATACACTCTTTCCCATTTGCCCTTACTCTTTCTTGAAATTTTCACCTTTATACTTAATCTTACGAACTCCCCCCATTTTACAATTCTCCATGTTAAAATTTCCTTGCATTTTACTCCCACTTTTCCTGCTAATTAGGGGTAGAATGGTCATTTTACCCTTATGGAGAATTCTCTAAAACCTCAAGGAACTTTTCTGCCATCTCGTCGCGCGGCAAAGAACTTTCGTCGCCCGGCGAAACAGTCCAGAACCAACACCGCCAACATAGAACCAACGTCGCCGCGGCGAAGCTTCTCCCTCGCCCGGCGAAGACTATAATCCAAAATCTGCCAAGTCTTGATCAATTCCATGGTACACACTCAACCAAACCCAAAACATAAACTCAACCAAGGCTAACCAAACAACATGAAACAATATACAAACTCATTTAGGGGCAATTCGTAATCCTTTAGGCCATACCATAACAAGGGCTACGTATCTCAGCGGGGTGTTTACATTAATACCGGAAAATCCAAAGAAAAGAAAGAGAGCAACTGAAAAAATGAAGAGTAATCTTTTCTGCATTACCAACTGAGTGTTTACATCATAACTAATAAAGCAAAAGTTGACATATTCTATACCAACATTAACTAAAGCCATAAATTACTACCAACTTACAACAAACATTATAGACACATCCATATAACTGGCAGTACAAATCTAAACCATTACAAAATGAATCAAACAAGGCTGCCTCACAAAAATGACAGACGGCAGATTGCAATACACTTTGGCGCCAGAATAGATTCAAAACAAGTTGACAAACTGCTACATTTCCAGCTAAATATCAGAATTTAACAAATATGATAGTCCCTCAGTGCTAAAGAGAATTCTAACTGACATTAGCAAAAACTTTATACATAACCTAGTTTTAATCCATCCATTTACTGCATAAATTAGCCAACATTAAACATTACTTATATTCGGTAGCAATTTTGAAAATTTATTTATGACACAGAGTTCCAATAGGTTATTTAACTTCAGTGATGGGTCCTGACAGCTATATCTTTATTAGGCTTGAAATGTGAAAATTGTAATTTATATAAGCAGATAGAGTAGAATGTAAACTGGTTAGCCTATGTGAATCTCAATCCCAAACAATGATTTCAAAGGTGAATCAGTTTAATTCATCTAAAAAAATCTGAGATGTTGAACTGCATTTTCTGTTGTTAAGCAGATAAAGGACATTCTGGTTTGATAGAATAAAGTTTGCCTCTCAGTCATGTACAAGTATGTAAACAACCAAGTTCAATCCAACAAAATGCATTCTCTCTCAAAGTGCGATGTGATGCCTCCTTTATGGGAGTACTTAGTAATGTTAATCAAACGTGATGCAGATAAAGATCTAGAAATCACTTTGCTGATGTCTTTTGTCGCTGGTTTGCTGTAATCACTTTCCACCGGGAGCTACAAACCAGCAAGCACTTGGTTGTGGTACTGAGTAAATCAGACTCTTTGTAAATATTTACATATTGTCAAGATAAAGTGTCTCAAGTATGTAAACAGAAAGGTTTTTTTGCTCTCCATCATCAGCGACACTTACGAAGTTTCATCTGATTATAAATTTATAAAACATATTTATTCTTCAACATTATTTTGCTGAATAGATAAAAACAAACATAAGTCCAGGGCTGTGTGCATTGACTACACCTATCAGCAGAAACTTTCTGGTAGAAGATTTAACATAGTAGGAATCAATTAATTGTTGGCAGAAATTTGATTCTCCAATGGCAAATCAGAAACTGATTTAAATGGCACATTGAGCCACAGAAATTTGTGTAGGCAGATTACTAGCATCAGGGACAGAACATGTTGGTGTTCTTGTCACGTACGATTGCAGATCCAAAGTGATTACTTCTAGGAAATTTTCATCTTCTTGTGTCCTGATCAATTAATCAAACATATTCAAGTGGTTGAAACTGTTTCTGGTGATTTTGAGCTGTCACAAAGTATAGACCTACTTCAAAGAAAGAAAGCAATATGGTGCCTTGCAGTGGTCCACCTTGTTTTAACCATAATCTATCTTGCCAACCACCTAAATATTCATTCTCCATTATATCACATGGTTTTGTATCACATAAGTCCCTGCACTGGGGTAGAAATATTAATGAGACTGTCTATAGCCTTGCAACTATATAACCAATCCATTTCAATAGACTTCCATCCAGCAATCACAGAATTTCAGTGTTTCAATATCCAACACTCCTTCTCACATTCATTTGAAATTTTTTTTTTTTTTATCTAATAACAAGAAACAACATGATCAGTCCAAAGAGCTAAGCAAAATGGCAAAGAAGTGGCAGAAAGTTGCTGCAATTAAGCGGAGAAGAATCTCATTACCAAAAGCAACAGGGGTGGTTGATTCAGAAAGTTGCAGGACATCATCAGTGGTTGAGAAGGGTCATTTTGTTGTGTACACTGCTGATCAGAGGCGATTTGTGATTCCCTTAACATATCTTAAAAACGACATTATTAGGGAGCTCTTTACAACGGCAGAAGATGAGTTTGGACTGCCAAGTGGCGGACCTATCACATTGCCTTGTGATGCAATTTTCATGGAGCATGCAGTCCCTTTGATCCAAAGGCATGCAACAAAAGATGTTGAGAAGGCGTTGCTCATGTCTTTAGCTACTGGTCGCTGTTTACCATCTTCACATCTCCATCAAGAGCAAAGTAACCAGCCATAGTTGGATATTTGTAAACAGTTTACAACACACTGTAGCAAGATAGTTGATCATTAATATAAACTTGATTAAAATTCCCCCAGTTTGAGATATACCTGAGATTTACTGACTTTCAATTTTTTTATTTTTTTATGAGCAAATATTTTCCAATGGAACCTGCCTTGCCCTATACAAATCCCTATTGTGATTTTCGGAGGGTTAATCAATTGAATTCATGGAAAAATGTTTGAACTGCATTTTCTACTTGCTAAGCAGATCATGGACATCTTATGTTCAAAAACTAAACTATGTTCTCCTAACTTACGTCAGAAAACAACTCTAATTTAACAATGGCATTAACTGCAATGGATATTCAGTGATACTATTCTCAATCCTGTGGTTCAAAATGCTTCTCATATATGAACGCATCAGTTTCAGATATAGCCTGCTATAAGTTGCTGAACCACTTGGCAGTGAAAAGAAAGGGTATTTATTCTTGCTCTAGCTTGGTAAAAGCCAAGCATATAGCTAAACTTGTACATGCCAGCCACCGCAATAGCTATTTCCATCCTACAATCACATGGGTTTGTTTCTTCTGAGCCCCTGCAAACTAGAAGCTGCATTTAAGTACCTTGTCTTTTGCTTTGTGAATAATATATGACTAACCCTCTTCCATTGCCTTCAATCCATCATAATTTTCGGTTTTAACACATTATAGTTTAATGTCAAGTATGAATTTAAATTTGTAATTTTTATTAACAAAAAGAATTTCAAACATCATGCCTTTAACGCCCAGAAAGTTGAGAGTTATTTAAGAGATATTCAAAGAGTTAAGTTCATAGTAAATATTATTTAAGAGAAAAGACGAGTTAATTTATCATTAAGGAACTAATTAAAGATTTTTGATGAATTATAATTAGTGGGAGAGTTTTAAAAGTTGACACTAATATTGTTTGAATCTTCAGCTTCTAGAGTGCTTGGGAGTTTGTTTTCATTAGTTTTTAGGGGTTCTTAATTAGATGGTTTTGAGGTATTTTAAACCATTACTTGTCAAATTTTTATGCACTAGTTTTTATTGGCTCAAAAACCCCCCAGAACTGTAGTGTGTTTTAAGGGTTTATAAAACACCCAAAATCGAGGTGTCTTGGTTGGTTTTAAAATTTTATTCCCCAAATACCCTATCCACTACAAAACTATCCCAATTATAAAAATATAAATATATATATATATATATATATATATATATATATATATTATATATTATATATAGATTTATTTATTTATTTAACCATATTATGCACATCTCCAACCATAGTAAATATAAAATAATTTTAAGTAATCATAAAAAAAAAAAAAAAAATTATTAAAATCTCATTTCTAAATGCTTTCTTGGAGAAGTGGAGCTACAATTTTTTAATCATTCCAGATGCTACAAAGAATGACAAAGAAGAATAAAGAGACTTTATCATATTTGAAGTTATAAAATACTAAATAAGTAGAAAACAAATAAAGAACCCTTATCTTGTAATTAAAAAAAACAAAACTCCCGAGTATTGGTTGAAGTTGGATATTTTTATGGGCACATATGTAAATTTATCATTTTAAAAAACTGTCAGAACCACTGGAAAATAAACTCCCAAGCACAGGTTGTGTGTTTTAAAAATCGGTACTCAAAACCGTTACTGTAGTTTACTCTTAAAACCGTTATGGTAGTTTATCCTCATAACCACTACCACGAAACTCCTAAGCGGACCCTAAAGTGCAAGACTTGGTTACACCTCGTCAATTTTATTCCTTATGTTTAAAAAGACTGGAAGGTAACCGTTGAATTTTACCCCAATCTTCTACAGTGTATTCCTTGGCATTTGATAAAAGTTGTGCTAGTCTTGGTGTGCCTGACCGAAGAAGAGCAGGTACTGAGCCATTACTGATAGCAAACTGGTATGATTTGGATCCAAAAAGAAAGGTGGCAAGTAACAGATGTTCAGTATAAATAGGAACAAGGAGGTTAAAAGATTATGTATACATCCCAAAAGCTATGTAGTCTTGTTCTGAGAAGTCTTCTCAGATTCCATGTGTCTAAATTTGTTCCTGAAGTGATGTACAAAGATAGGGATGATGCATATCATCTGAGAAACAAGGAAAATGCAACTGAAATAGATTGGAAGATAATAAAAAATTAGGCAGTCTGAGCTACACCATTCTTCTGTTTAGGCAGCTCACACATGGTTTGTCCCCCTGCCTCTTGCAACTAAATCACCAAGGTAAATTTGGTTGCATGCTGTAACAATGTTATAGTTGGAAACAAGTCACTTGCATTTTCTTGTTACCAGATTGACCATTATATCTGCACTCTCTGGTTGACAATGACTCTGATTTTGAGCCACTAACACCAGCAGATTTGGAAGAACATGAAATTGTTGGGTGTAAGGCTCCACCTGATGTGCCAAACTATTAAAACAACTGGCTGAATTGACCAACTGCCTAAATTGCTATGCTTATCTTCATATCAGATGGCTTTGTCTCCCTTCAGTCCCTACATAAGGGTAGCAGCATTAAATGGACTATTTCCAGCCATGTGACTATATAAAAAACCCATTTTAGTAGCCTTCAATCCATAGCAAACACAGCATTTCAGTGTTGTTTAGATCCAATACAATTCTCTCACACAACATAAGATCTTTCTCTCTAGTTAACCAGAAACAACATGATTAGTCCAAAGAAGCTAATCAGATTAGCAAAGAAGTGGCAGAAACTGGCGGCTAGCAAGCGAAAAAGAATCTCATTGCCGAGAACCACTGGGGTTGTTGAAGGAGAGAGTTGCAGCACATCTTCAATGGCTGAGAAGGGTCATTTTGTTGTATACACTGCTGATCAAAGGCGCTTTGTGATTCCCTTAAAATACCTTAAAGACAACATCATCAGAGAGCTCTTTACAATGGCAGAAGATGAGTTTGGACTTCCAAGAGGCAGGCCAAGAGCAAAGTAACCAACAATCACTACTCTGCGGCTTCTAAAGCCAACCATAAATAGTTGGATTTTTGTAAATAGTTCACAACATTGTAGAAAGATAACTGATATATTGATATAAATTAAGTTACTAAAATTTCTTCAATTTTGAGTTGTTTTTGAGATGAATTGACTTCCATTCTTTCTTCTGAGCCAATATTTCGTTCAGATGCATAGAAATGTGTTAGAAATCGGAAGAGTAAAAAATAAAATATAGACTTGAAAAATGAACACTTGTGAACCGAAGAAATAAAACTTTTATTTCAACATAAACTTCATGCAATCTCCACACTAAAATACAACTCTAATTCCCCTTTTATAGACTTGTAAGGGATAACACTGAACAACTTATATAACTAAACAAGATAAATAAAATAACTTGAATCGTCAGTTTGACAGTTGTAATTTAACTAAAAACAAACTGCTGCTCAAACCTAGACATAACTGAATTTCTTAAAACGCGCCTAGGCATGAGCATTCTGGAATTTTTAAGTTCCAGCTTCTTTTCTGCCAAAACGTGTTCAATATTTAACAAAATGTGTTCTCTCTCCACACAGAATATCTTGTGGGAAAAGCAAGGAAAAGTAAACTACCATTTAATTTCACACTTCAATTCCCACTTTAAACCTTCAGTTGAAGGATAGATAGTCCCAGGAGCAGTATCTTCAAATTTTTTTTTTTTTTTTTTTTTTTTTACCTCCTTTGTGCAAAATTTCTCCATAGTAAGTGCCATTTTATGTTCATAACACTACGACACTGAAATTTTTACACCGAATTTTTGTACCGCCGACGTGGAACGCGTTCTCCCATTTCTTTATAATTTTTTTCTAGTGAACGGCCATCCATCAAATTTGGACGGCCGTTCACTCACATGGACGCCCGTCCATCAAATATGGATGGGCGTCCATATGTCAAGGACGGCCGTCCATATGATATGGACGCCCGTCCCTATTAAAATAAAAAAAAAAGTTTGTAAAAGTTAGGGACGGCCGTCCATCCATTTTGGACGCCCGTCCACAATATGGACGGCCGTCCATATGCGAGGGACGCCGTCCATATAATATGGACGCCGTCCCTATTAAAATAAATAAAAAAATTTGTAAAAGCTTAGGGACGGCCGTCCATCCACTATGGAGGCCGTCCATTATTTGGACGGGCGTCCACAAGTAATGGACGCCCTCCTTCACCCAAATATGAAAAAAAATAAAACTTTCATTATGGACGGCCGTCCATAAATTTTGGACGGCCGTCCTTTTTATTTTGGACGGGCGTCCATTACTTATGTACGCCCTTCCATGTTTTAAAAATTTTTAAAAAAAAAAATTTCGCGTTTTAGGTTAAAACATTTGGGGGAATTTAAAATTTTTTTTTTCACAGGCAGCCATTCCATCTTCTTCGTCTTCCATCTGCGTTCTTCGTCTTCGCGGTGTTTTTCTTCTGGACTCTCTGCGCTTCTTCTTCGTCTTCCATCTGCGTCTTCTTTGTCTTCGCAGTAATTAAACAGTTTCCTTTTTCAATTTTTTTTTTTTAAATTTTTTTTTTTGGTTGGATGAATGTGTTGAATGGAGTTGAGTTGATGAGATAAATCCAGTCAATTTGGTGGGACTGGTTTGTGTGATTATGAATAGAAGTGCTCTGCCATTGATAAAGATAATGGAGTTTATTTCAAAAAAATGGTTTGTGTAAACTACCGTGGAATGAAATTGGTTTTAGGCTATGTATAAATTGATTTTAGGCACAATTTAGACACATTTGATTCGAAAACAAGGATAACAATACACGATATACACGATATGGAACGATATGGAAACAGAGAATGTTTGCTTGTAATCAGTAAGATAATGTACATTGTGAGAAGGTTTAATTTGTCAGGTGAAGCTGATGGATTAATTGAGTATGGATTAAAACGATATGGAAACAAGCTGATGATTTAATTTGTTTTAAGTTTTACAGATAATGTATATATATATGAGTTCTAGTTTGCTTAATTTTCCAATAAGGATAACATTGATTCG